AGAGAGAGAGAGAGAGAGAGAGAGAGAGAGAGAGAGAGAGAGAGAGAGAGAGAGAGAGAGGTCGTCCTTGTCCATATATTTTTGATCAGAAATTGCTTGCTAGCCACTATCTCCCATCGAACAGAAAGCATGCTCGTCATCGCTCTTAAATCGTCAGTTCGTCAGCAGCACAGCGCGTCACGTCCATCTGCTGTCTGCCCCTCTCTCGGTTCCGCATGGATACTCACCGTCTCCTCTTGAATAGGAGGCATGCTGGTCATCTCCGTTTGAACCACCTCTGAATCCCACGAAGGCGCGTTTTGCAAAAGGCACTCTATTCGAAAGGCGCCATATTCAAAACGCGCTGTATTCTGGATTTCTGATGTCCATCCACCGTCTCCTCCCTTCCTCTCTCTATCGTGTCATCCTGTCAATTTTTCATTTTCCGAAAAGCCTCCCCCCACCCCCGGCCGGAGAGCCATTTTCTTTTTCTGGAAAGCCATGTTCTTATTCTGGAAAGCTGAAAATGACATGTGTCCTATTGGCTCCATGTCTCCTGGGGCAATCAAAGATAATGGGATTGGACACCTGAATCTGGGCGTGTTTGTGGAGAGGTGCAGAAAATCGCGGTTGATCTGCTTTTCTGCATCTGTGCTTAAAACCCATCTAGATTCAGACTCTTGATCCAATACTCTTTTGCTAGTGGGACCTTGCTCCTGATGCTCATGCGTGCGAAGCGTGGTGCAACCAAAACACCTCGTGGTGCACTTTCGCTTTTTTTCCTTTTTTTTTTAATTTTTTTGTAAGCTTCAGGAGAAGGAGCCACTTGAGGGGGTGATACGAGCAGCCTCCTCAAGCGGTCTTCCAGGCGAAGGCTCCATCTATTGGTGGGGAGCTGCACCTGCTGGAAACTGACTCCAGCGTCCCAGATATTTCAATACAATACGGAGCTGATTGTCCTAGGAGCCGGCCTTCATACTGCTGAAGGACCAGCCTCAAGTCCCTTTTTGTTTTGTCCACCCACTCAGTTCCTTTAGAGCCCTCATTGTTCCTGCGTCACCCTTCTGTGCAGGGGGGGGACCTACTGTAGGTTCGCCCGACTTCAACCCCCCTTTTGTGCAGGGGGGGGGGCTAGGTTCGCCCTACTTCAACCCCCCTTTTGTGCAGGGGGGGTACCTATGTTCACCCGACTTCAACCCCCCTTTTGTGCGGGGGGGGGAGGACCTAGGTTCGCCCTACTTCAACCCCCCTTTTGTGCAGGGGGGGGACCTAGGTTCGCCCGACTTCAACCCCTGTGCTGAGCCGGCTTCTCTGTCCCCCCCACTAGCAGCGTTGAGTTTGCTCAACTCCTGAATCTGGACGTCGTTGTGGATATGTGCGGTTGAGGAAACTCTACGCCATGTCTGCACGTCTCCACAAACACGACCAGATTCAGGAGTTGAGGAAACTCAACGCTGCTAGTGGGACTTGGCCCCGGGTGTACCAACTGAACTAGCCTCGTTGGGTCCAAAATGTTCGTAGGTGCAACCAAGACAACTCGTGGTGCACTTCAGCTTTTTTTTTTAATTATAAATATTATTGCAATTCATCTTGTTTTATTTTTTATTTTTTTTAATTGCATTTTTTCTTTCTTTCGCAATTCATCTGATTCCAGCAGGATTGGAAGATGTTTTTTTTTTTTGGTTTGTGCGGTTTGCAGGCCTGTGGCGAGTGTTTTGTTGCAAGAACCTGGGTACTCGGTTCAGTGGACGGGCCGCAGGAGGCTACCCGCGGGAGGAGGGTGGTGAGCCATTATGTTCATAGGAACTATGGTTCCAACCGGTCGTTTTTGGGTCGGTTTCAGGAGTAGCATAACAGTAAGGTTAACGGTTAGGGTAGTCGGTAGTGGAGAGGAGCATTAGTATAGAAGTGCGTGATGTTAAGAGGTTTGGATGAACGTGAACGAGCGCTCTGGTTTCAGGAGTAGCATAGCAGTAAGGTTCACAGTTAAGGTAGTCTGTAGTGGAGAGGAGCATTAGTATAGAAGTGCTTGATGTTAAGAGGTTTGGATGAACGTGAACGAGCGTTTCGCTCTTGCAACAATCAAGCAGAAGGTTTGTGACTATTAGTTTCTCTAGGAGCGAAGAGGTTTATCGTATCTTGATTCGAGAGAGTATATTTCATAAGCTATAAACCCGCTGATGCTGCCGGGATAACTCCGGGTTGAATTGTGAGGTCCCCGGCCTCGGTTTATCCGTGACGTTGATAATGGAAGAGATGGTTTTGTTTAAAAAAAGAAAAAGAAAAAGAAAATATGTTTTTTTTTCTAGGCTACCAGAGTGGCCCGGGTCCACTTGCCTGGCCGGGTCAAAAAGAAATTAAAAAAATAAAATAAAAATGATTTTTAATTTAAAATTGGTAAAAAAAATCGATGTGACCCTGAGGCA